GCGCTCTCCACCTCTCTGATCTACTTAGAGGCGCAACAGGGGCCGGTGGAGCCGAGCGCTGAAACAGAGACACCGACACCAACCTCTCTGTGTGCCCGGCCCGGCAGAGGCGAGCTGGAGCCCGTCGTCGGTTGTGTTTGCTCGTTTGGTTGGCGGGGGTGGGCGTTTCAGCGGGCGCAGAAATTACCGTGCTGGAAAGCCACGGCAGAGAGCCGAGATACGGGTTTCCTCGCCGAGCGCCGGGAAAGCCGGGCGTTTGAGGGGGCAGAGGTGCTCGTGGGGAGCGCATGGTGGGAGACAAACAGCCTCAGAGCTTCAGGAGTGCCCCTGCTCGTGGCTGTGCTGCGGGGACAGCGTCTTTCCCACGGGATCGCCCTGGCTTCCTGCTGCCCTGGGTCAGGTGTGGGCTGTCCGTGCCGGTTCTGGCAAACTCCAGGTTTGACGGTCGCGTGTGCCCTGAGTGTGGCGTGGTGGGATGGTTTGGGGGGCAGGGGGCAGAGGAAGGGCGGGCAGCCCCTCAGAGAGCCCGGCCGCCCTCCCCGCAGGAGAGGGGATGCTGAGCAGGAGGCGGTTTTGCCTCCGAGGTACCCGAGAAGGAGCTGCTGCTCACATGCACCAAACCCTGCGTCCTCTGGAACAGTTCTCCCCACAGAGGGGGAGTCGGGGCTCTCCAGCGGTACGTGTTCCCTCCTGTCCCCTGTCACCGCTCCCGCTGGCTGGCACGCTGGGAGGGGCCATTTGCTGGCTGCAGGTGGAAGGGGGTGTCGTGGTCGCCTCCTGCGCTGACTAGTTGCACTGCAGAGTGGCTGGGTTAAGGCTGCCCTCTTCGGATCTCTTCCTCCATTTGGCATCCTCCGCTCCCTCTCCTAAGGTCCTGCTGGTCCCAGCGCCACCTCGGAGCTGTTCCCAGCCCCAGCAGCTGCCTTGAGCAGCCACCTTGGAATTAAACCCTTCTCACACGGGATTGCTCCCGTCCCCATGCATCCCATGGCCCCAGCGCTGCATCTGTGCCTTCCACATCTTCAGCTTCCCTGGCCCTCCACACCCCAAAGAACCCCTTCAGAAGGTGACTTGCGGCTCACCTTGCTTTTTTCCCCTCAACCCTTCCTGGGCAGGCCCTGTGCCATACTGAGCGCCTGGCATCACCAACCCTGGCTTTGCGCCCAAGGACCAGGGCGGACAGTGGTGGAGAGCGGAGCCTCATCCGCGCACCCCGTCCCTGTGGGCAGGTCGGCCCTGGGCTGGAGGAAGCTGCTCCTGTTTGCCATTCAGGAGGAGCTGCTTCCAGCCCTCGGAGCTCAGTCACCTTGTGTGTGTGCTCCTGTGGAAGTCTGGGCAGGTCTCTGTCACACGCGGCAGGTTTGGGGGCTGTATCTGGGGGTCATCGAGCAGATGCAGCCGTGTGTCCTCCCTGGTGGGAGCAGCTTTGCCTGTCTCCTGCCTGCGTGGAGCTAGTGAGCCGCTGGAAATCTCCTAGGCAATGGATAATGTAATAACATTTCAAATGAGATCTGCAGAGCGGGAGGAAGATCTGGGGGAACTCTGGGAGAGAATGCAGGCAAATCTCACCGCAGTCTCCTCCTCTCAGGCCAGAGACGGGGCAGCGCTGGGGGC